GTGTTTTTACATCGAAGCGAGAAACCCCTTGAGCGTGCAATGATAGAAACCTGTGAATAATTGTCTGTAGGTGTGTAAGGTTTCTATCATTGCACGCTCAACGGGTGTCTCGCTTCGATGCAAAGGCACGGTTACCTTTCAAGATGGCGCAGGGAACCGTGAAGGAGACTACTGCCTCTTTTAATTGATTAAGAGAGCCTGGACTTATAATAAATCAAATCAGGATACCTGTGCATCGAATGAAATCCTGGTGGTAGCAACAGCACCATACACTATCAGACCGTATTGTATACGCTCAGTTCCATAGGTCTGTACTATAGTCTTGATGGTATCCTTCATGAGACGAAATGTTTGGTCAGCAAGGCTAGATGTGGCTGAGACAGCAAACACCAGATCGATTTCAGGAGTTTCTAGGAAAAAATGAATGACGTTCAAGATTCTGCAAGACGCAAGTCAGTACTTATAATGAAACGTTTACGTATGTGTTGACTGCAATGATCGATATGTTATGTCTCCTTACATAACTTTTTGGCTTGGTATATTTTGATCTGGACCGATATGTGTTAGCTTGTTAGCACTGGATAAGGAGCAATGTTACCAAGTGTTGACCCTGATCATTTACTAGTAAAAGTCAATACTGCTGATCCTAATAAAATTCTTAAAGATGAGAAAAATACCCGACTATATCCCACAATTTGAATCGGTCATCGGTCAACCTCTTCTGGTAATCAACATGCATTGAATTGGGTGAGCAATCTACCTGGTTTCAACCCCTTCTCGATCTTTTCGATAATTTCCTGCCCTGTCTTAAGGGGATCCAAGTCATTCGGCTTCTTAATAAGATTTCTTTTATCGTCCGTTGTCTGCTCTAGTTCAGGTGTGCTTGCATCTTCACCCACGCTCACAGGGATGACAAGAACTTTCTTGTCACGTAACGGCGYCGCATCTCGTTTGATGTCAGATAAGCTGCGTCCTGATGCCTTGTCAGTGATGATGACTAAAACCTTGCGATACAATTGGTGATAAGTGTAGCAAGTTGGCCATTGATCTTTTCTCAGAATTTAAAAAAGAGGGAATGGGACAGGAGCGAGGGGGAAGCGAAGGGGATGAATGGATGGGGGAAAGAGGGGGGGTGGAAGGGGGAAGGGAAGACGAGGGGGAAGGGGGAAGGAGGAAAACAAAGATGGAAGGGAAAGAGAAGGAAGACTGAAGGAAAGGTGGGAGAGGTATTGGGATAAGAAATTTTGTTTAATACCCACAAAGACTAGTACACAACTTACCTTTCTGGCATCTGGTCGATCAGATTTGTCAAATCCTCTGTTTGCYTCRCYGAGTGCTGCAWTWATGCTACTCCCACCTCGACTTCGCGACAAACCAGTTATAAGCTCGAYCATCTTCTTATCATACACTCGTACATTCTCATCAAAACGCAGCAGCGTTCTTGCTGTGTCTGCGAACACGATAATACTGAACCTTGTTCTKGTGAAGCCATATTCATCGTATATGTACTTGAYTACGTCCTTCATTCGTCTAAACGTGTCGTCGGACTGAGATGCAGTTGAGGAGATAGCGAACGTGACATCCATCTCGGGCAATTTTGGKGCATCTGAAAGGGAACATGGAGTAAACGAAGGAAATGGGATTGGAAGACAAGATGAATGAGAATTTATCTACCCCATCAATACGGCCACTTTCCGKTGGCCGTTCGGTGACCRGATTAGCGAGGTTCCACTGTATRAAYAAACAATCATCAAAGCTATACCTTTCATGGCAAATTTCATGATTTCTTTYCCAAGTTTAACAGGATCYCCATCGTCTTTGTCTGTGATGGTCCTATACTGAGGGGAGACAGCGCCAAATGTAGCGAGATCAACATCGTCACCGATGGCTACRGGAATGATATGGACGCCTTTGTAYACTACAGGTTTTGCTGCTGWTTTCATGTCAGTTGCACTTAGCCCAGAACTCTTGTCTGTRATCACGACCARTACTTTTTTAGCGTCTGGACGAGAACCTGGAAAAGATAGAAATGATTTGATGGTACTATGATTGAAATGATGATCATAATAATGACAGTGATGATTAATATGATGGTGATAGTCTTCTGCTGATATCACCTATCACAAGGTGCGCGCGTATTCGTAACTATGTCCGATGAGAAACTGCTAAGCAGTTAATGATGATAATGACAAGAGTTGCCATTCATGTCAGTGATAATGATGGAGATGATAACAACGATGATGATGATGATGGAGACGATGATGATGGTAATGATGATGGTAAGGAATAGTGATGATGATGGTATATGGTAGTGATGATGTTGGTGATAATGATGATGATGATGGTGATTACATTGATGCAAAGGTTACATCAATATTTGCAATACAAGAAGTTTATCACACAACCAACAAATACTTCAAAATGCACGGTACAAACCTGATCCATCAAACACTTGTTTTGCTTTAAGCAACGCGTTATTCACTGACGACCCGCTATTATCACTAGGAAGTGCGCTGACCAATTTCATTAGGGACTCAGAATCAAGTACTTTGTCCTGAAAATCTCGGTGAATGGTAGCAAATGACCCATAGACGATAAATCCATAATGGATAGAGTCCACACCGTAGGTGGATATGATGTAATTGATAGTTTTTTTCATCAGGGGGAGGGTGCGGGATGACTTTGCTGATGATGCACTCAGTGCAAATAGAAGGTCCATCTTGGGAACCCTGTTTAAAGCTGGAAAAGATGGGACAAAAAAGGCTTAAAATTAAAAACAATAAAGAGTCATACAAGGAAACAAGATGCAAGGGTGAATGAAGAGAGGAGGGAAGGAACGGAAATAGCAAAGTGAGGGAGGGAGAAAGGGAGGGAGAGAGGGAGGGAGAAAGAAAGAAAGTACGGCTGGAAGTGAAGAAGGAAGGGATAAAGGTTGAGAGGGAGAAAAGAACAGAGAGAGGGAGGAAGAGATGAACGAATAACGGAGGAATAGCTGGAAATGAAGAGGTGCACAAGAAAGGTATCAAGTTTGCGAGGGAGAAAAGAAGAGAGAGGGAGGAAGAGATGAGAGAAAGGAGAAGGAATGGATGGAAATGAAGTAGTGTGGAAGCAAGGAATCAAGGTTGCAAGGAACCAAAAAAAGGGAGGGAGGTAGAGAGGTAGAGATGAAACGAAGGAGAGGAAGAAGAATGAGAGAGGCGATCAGATAGTAACACGGGTCAACAGTACTAACGACTAAAATACCAATGCCTTACCTTCTAGTATCTTATCAACAATCTTCCTGCCCAGACCACTTGGATCAGTAATTTTATCAATCGTAAGAATATTGTCCTTGTCTTTCGTSACGCTACCCAACTCACCGACATCAAYATCTTTACCGATACCCACTGGTACYGTGACAACACCCTACAAAACAACATAGTACARCATATTTGATTGGTTGGTTGAAGTACTTAATGTAAAACGACCTGTAATTGGCTTGAAGTAATKTTTRAGAAATAAAGTGCAAKTTGATTGGCTGGAWGAGATATTGGARATATAAAACGTACATTGATTGGTTGAAAATTCTTGATAAGGTGTTCCATGGATATAAAATGCAAACTTATTGAAGAGTTCAACATTTAACATAAAAATGTGTCTATAAGATGCTTGATGAAATATTGGCGTGATTACAGAATTAAAAAAATGCAATTTAAATGAAAGTTTGTTGTTTAATTGATTTTTGCAATAAAAAACAACGTACTTCATGTTCAAGAAATCTGGCCTGGTTACGAAGATCAACATCCGGGACATTCGACTTCTTGTCTGTGACGATCACCAAAACCTTGTGCGCATCGGGACGAGACCCAGGCCCCCTCAGCACCTTGCGTCCTTCTTTCATCGCTTTGTCCAATGATGATCCACCGCGCAAACGTGGTACAGCGTCAATAAACTTCTTCAATAGTTGTTCAGTGTAATTATCCTTAAAATCTGTCTTCATCGACGCTTCGTCGGAATACACTATGAAGCTATATCGCAGTGCTCCGATGCCATAGCGATCAATTATCGATTTGATGGCGTCTTTGGTAAGTTTGAAGGTTTGGTCGGCGTTGGTAGCTGTAGCGGTGACAGCAAGTGCTAAATCGATCTTCGGAATTTTGATTTGTTCTGAAAATTTACAATTTATACATAATTAATTTATATTGCAAAGAGTATCTTCCTAATTGGGAAAAAAATTGTCTAGCTCTTCCTTTGGTCTGTTCCACAAAAAGACATTTTAATAAGGTTTTAATAGCCGACTTAGATATTTTGGTTCAATGCCCATGCACAAAAGAATTGTAAACGGGGCTATGGGGAAATAAACGAATACATTTAGATTCTCCATTGTTTCCCGGAGCCTCGCCCGCAATTCTTTTGTACATCGTTATTCAAACAAAATATATAAAGTTGACTATTCAGTCTGTCTGTCTGTCTACGTCACCTTTTAATAGAATAACCACAATTTTCTTTCCGACAGCCTCTGGATTATCATTCCTTGTAACCTGTAAAAGATTATCTTTTTCTGGAGTAGTCAACAACAGCTGGCTTGCATCGACATCTCGKCCAAACCCCACAGGAACGACCCTGACACCTTCTTTCTCTAGAGCCCTTGCTCCTGCTTTGATGGCCGCGTCYGTTGAATCTGACTTTCTGTCAACAAATATCACAACAGCCTTGCGGGAGTTCTTATTACTACCTGGAAAACATAGTACAAGCTTATGAATACCTGGAAATCATGGTACAAGCTTATGAATACCTGGAAATCATAGTGCAAGGTACGCAGTAATAATCGGCTTTTGCATTGAAATTGGGAGTTTTTAACCCTGTTTCTCCGCACGTCTTGACCAGGAATGCCTGGTTAATATCTCTATTTACCTGATTCACTGAAAAGTTTCCTGGCTTCCTCCATGGCCTTATCAATGGCTGGTGCACCTGACCTTCTGGGGAGATTTCCAATAAACCTTTTAAGATCTTCAGGTCCAGGCATTTTATCGGCAAATCTTAGTCGTGTTGAGGCCTGGGAGCCAAAGATGATGACACTCATTCGAATTCTGCTTGCGCCACACGTGTCAATGATGGAATGGATTGTGTCCTTCATCAGCGGGTAAATGGTATCGGCATCACGTGAAGACGAACTGATGGCAAATACCACGTCTATATCATAGGCTAGACCTTTGAATCAAATAAAGAAATCAACAAATAGATGATAGATTGACGGTTTGATGGTTGATTTTCTGATTAATTGAATTAGCCGTTGTCGGTTGATTGAATTTTTATTAATCAAATTCACTATATTCCACACTCAGGTCCAGTGACCATGATCAAAGCATTGAACCAAGGCGTCAATGTACTTTTAGCATAGAAAAGATCTGTGGTCAGTGTTCCTTGGCGCCTCGGTTAAATGCTTTGTTCGTGGTCACTGAACCTGAAAGTCGTGAATTAGCTGCTCTTTGACAGATTGACAGACTTTTCTTATACACAGTAACAATTTATTTTCAGAGTTCAGTAATCATTTTCATCACCATCATTGTACCTGGAAACACTCCATGCATAATCTTATCACCAACTTTGCCAGGTTTTGCTGTCTTCTCCACTGTTATTAGATTATTTGGTGTGGTAACCATGGCATTTTGAAGGTCTGTTGTAATCGCTGCGTTGTCAATGGCAACACCAATAATCTGGATATTTGACGTCTGTAAAGGCCTGGCTGCAGATTTGATGATGTCACGGTTCACTATTGGCCTACTGTCCATCATTAAGACCAGGATCTACAAATAAGCGGCAATAGATAAGCGAAGAAAGCTTGGAAGAATCGAAACGTGTGTGAGCCATAACAACAACTTCAACAGCGACAACAACTACAATTGAAAAAATAACAGCCATAACAACAGAAGCAAAAACTACAACTACAACAATAACTGCAGCAACAATAACATCAACATTAACAACAACAACAACAACAACAACAACAACAACAACAACAACGACAACAACAACGACAACAACAACA